TCTTACATGGGAGGTTCACTAATTGTAGGAAGTTCAAAATATGAAGTGAATCACTGACTAGTGACTAACAAGACATGAGAGTCAGCCTACTGGCAGGCTGTGTGACTTATCAGAGTTGTCTCAGAATTCGTCCATCCCCTTTTGCTGATTTTACATTATGGCTGTCACTTGATCCTGGGGTTGGTGGGAGAGAAGGGGATGTATATCATGCAAGTAGCCAGACTGCTCCAGTTTAAAGTCCAGTTGATTTGGACCTTAGTGTTCCAGCAGTGATTCATAGGTCCCTGGTCTTCTCTGAATTCCCAAAGGACTAATTTCTATTTCTTGCCATTGCTGAGATTTTCATTTTTCTTTCTACCTTTGTTTCTCTTTCTGTGGATAACCTATTGACCAGAGGACATTGTGGCTATGGGGAATTAACACCCTTAACATTCTGCCCCATGTGCAAAAACCTATCTTTCTCAGACCTCAACCTCCTTTTCCATTGTCTAAAAGGAGGAACTAGTACTCCTGTCACTTATGTTCCAGTCCCACTTTCTACCATGTCTTCAGGGTTCTAATGCCCTAATCTTCTCTCTTCTATCTCCAATCTCCCATTCTTCTTTCTTTGCATAACCACAGCCAATTTTCTTCATTGAAAAGAACCAAATGGAAACTCCCTAAAGCAACTGCCCTTTACCATATAATTGCATTCTTTTCAAATAATGCACCTTTTTCTAGGGTATCTTCTCATTCCATCTTCAAACCCAACTAATCTGCTTTTGTTCCATTCTCCATGGAAATTACTCCAACCATAAAGATCACTGCCTTAGTCACTTTCCATCACTGTGATAAAACAGTTGAGAAAAACAACTGAAAAGCAGACAGACTTATTTTGGCTCATGATTTCAGTCCACGGTAGACTGGCCCCATTGCTTTGGGTCTGCAGCAGCACAGTACACCATGGTGGGGAGCTTCCAATTGCTCACCTCACAGTTGGTGGGAAAAGAGAGAGGGAGAAATGGGATGGAGTCCTAATATCCCCCCAGGGACACACCTCCACGGACCTAACTTCCTTCCACTTGGCCCCAAGTCCTAAAGATTACACTGTCTCCCAATAGTAATACAGGATGACTGACAAGCAAGCTGTTGGCTTTGGGGGACATTTAAGATCCAAACCATAACAATCACCACCAACCCATCTCTTTACTTGATCTCTCTGAAGCATTTTATGTTTTTAAAACTTGTTAAGGACTTTGGACTCTGTCCCTTCTCAGTTTTCTTTAATGACTCCTTGATTTCCACCTACCTATTCATCCTCATCAAAGATCAGTCTTTGGTTGATTCTAGGTGGTTTCTTCACACTCTGTATTTGTATTATAAAGCATCCACTTAGGGCCCCTGCACCTTCACCTCTGGCTTAGACCTGTCTCTGGCTTAGACCTGTCCATAAGTCCTATCCAACTGATACTGTTCACTTTTCACTTGTTCCCCCAAATGGTTTAAAACCATTGTTTAAATCCTTTCCTTCCCAAAGTGCTGTTCTACTTAAATTTCCTATATTTTTTAAAAAAGGCATTATATATTAAGCCATTTGATCCAGAAACCTCGATATAGTGGATCCTGCCCTTTTCCTCACTCCGCAAGTTGGTTTCCACATCCTGCCATCTGACATGATCTTTTCCCATGGCCACAGTCAGACCCTCACTGGCGTCTCAAATGACCTTCTTGCTTAGTCCACTAATTCCCAACATGGTCTCTTCAACAGTAGCCTGTGCCATCACCAGGGAACTTACTAGAAATGCAAATTCTCAGGTTGCCTCTGGCCCACTGAATCATAAATCATAAGGCGGTGCCAAGTAATCTGTGCTTTAATACATTTTCTAGATAATTCTGAAGCTAAAGTTTAAACCACTGTTCCAGTCAACTCCCACTAATGCATTTTTTACTTTTAACACATTTTGCAAAACAAAACAAAAACCAAACCAAATGCAATCATGTTTCTGTTTTGCTCAGAAGACTTTAGGGACATTTTTGACTGGAGGGTAAAATTTAAATTTCCTAATACAGCATAAAAAGCCCATCAGGATTTAGTTTCTGCCTGCCAGTTTTCAGAATGTAATGTACAATAAATCCTTTTAGTAGGAATGCATTGCCATGTGGTGATTAAGGAGCTGTAGAATCATACCACTTGGACTGAATCTCTACCTTACCACTTTACCTTTGGCCACCTGGCCTTGGATGAATCACTTAATCTCACTATGCCTCAGTACTATCATTCAAAAAAGGAGCATAATAGTGACTTCCATATCACAAGGTGGTTGTGCAGTTGGCACAATACTTGGCACTTAGTCTGGGCTCAGTGCTGGCTAGCTATTATTATTATTATTTTGATTATTTGAAAATAAAAAAAATTCTAGCATTAATCTGGAACACTAGTTATTTAAGAGCAAAGGCTTTGAGTAATGATAAGAATCAATTCTAACCTTCATCACAAATAAGTCATCAACTTTGGCAAACTCTTTCCTATCTCAATTTTGTAATCTGCAATATGGAGCTACATTATGAAAATTAGAGAGATATATATAATATATATTATATATCCATATATATAATATTCATAGCTTAGTAAAGTGCCCAGTATGTGGGAAGTGCCCAATACATGAAAGCTATTACTAGTGAAGTATATTAGCTCTAATATACATCATATATAAACAGGAGTCTAGAGACTCCTGTTCAATCAATGCCATTAATATTCTAATATTTGGTTATAATTTATAAAATTAGGAAATATTGTAAAGATTGATCCAAATACAATCATGTCTCTATGCCCACATCATTTAGGGCTTACCAACTTTGAAGGATGTGTGACATGAATTTTATTCACATGTTCACTTACTCTTCTTGTCTATTACATGCTAGGAATACCATGATAGGCTCAGGGGAAAACACCAAGATCAATAAGGCATGATTCTTGACTTTTAGAAGAATACAGGCTTGAGAAGGAAAAAAGAACCCAAAATATTACTGTATAAAATCTCTGCTTGAGTTGATTCATTTTCAAAACCATACTTATTTTCTCTATATTCTTTGAATTCATCTCAAAAGAAAAAAAAATCCCTCTTTTTCTTTTGTTTTTGCTTTGCTTTTTGGTATTGGGAATTGGACCCTGGGGGTTGTTTTACCACAGAGCTACAACCTCAATCTTTTTTTTTTTTTTTTTTTTTTTGAGACAGGGCCTGGCTAAGTTGCCAGAGATGGCACTAAACTTGAAAATCCTCCTGCCTCGGCCTCTGAAGTAGCAGACAATACAGGCTTGCACCACTGCACCTGTCTTGCTACTAGACTTATTTCTATCTGCCTAATTCTGCTTCCTTTCTTCATTGGTGATGATCCAAAAAAGTCCTCTCAAATAAATACTCTGCCCACAAATCTCAAAGTCTGCTTCTCAGGAAAAATAACCTAGATTCAGAAATATCTTGTTCATTTATGGGTGTACATGTTTACCCTTTCTCCCCCCATCAAGCTCCAGGACCTGCCTGCTGGTCACTGCTGTATCTTCTAAATCACTGTCACAAACACTCACATATACATTCCTTAATGGAAAAATTGACCATGTTAATGAATGAAACTGCCACACTAAGTTTCTGAAACAACAACAGAATTTGGGGTTGGTCCCATCTGTGAAAGATGAACATGATCTCAAGGGATCTCTTCCATTTTCAATGTATTTCAATCTCCTTAATATTGTCAATAGCCCTAAGTCCTGTTTCTGCTTTCCTACAGTTGGTATGACCATGGTGTCAACAGTTCTACCATCCAGTTCCACACCAGGAAGTAGCCTCCATCCTTAACAGCCTAAGAGAAAATATGCATCCTCCCCATTTGGCTGGCTCTTCCCAGTGTAGGAATTACACAGGTCCTGTTGGAAGATGGGACGCACGTGCAATTGGGGCTTTCCCTAGAACACCTTACCCATCTACTGCACAGTGCAGGTGAGTGTGCGGGAAGCTCTATTCCAATTTTGCCTACATATTGAACACCTTTTAGCCATCCATATCTCACCAGCAAGTATTTACAATCTAAGCTATTTTAAAGGAAGGTCCTCAGCCTCTTGGAGGGGCAGCCTCCTCCTTGGCTCCGCCCCTAAGGGAAGGGAGGACGCCACGACCTTTGTGTGTGCGCGGGGCGGCGGGGAGACCTACAAGCCTCCTCTCTTCTTAAGCTGGAGAGAGAGAGAGAGAGATGTTCCGCCTGGGGTTCCACCTTTCTCACCTGCCCACCAGCTGCTGCACTTTCCTAGGCCGCCACCGTCGGCACCAGGCACGCGAGACCGCACTTCACTCCGCTGCAGCCCCGGATCCTGGCAACCTTCGCCCCGGAGCCTTGGCGCATGCGCAGTTCTGCGGCTGGCGCAGTACTGGTCCGTTCTTTTCTCCGCTCCAATGATTGCGGAGGCAGTTACCGGAAAGAACTGGGGCGCAGTTCGGCAAATTGTTGAAACTGAAAACTTAAACACATCAAATTGGAACAACACATCAAAAGGGTACAGAGTTGTCTTTTGAAGCGCACTTGACGAATATTTACTGGATGAACTGGATACTAGTTAGTCATTCTTGGCTCTCTGTGCTACCTGACTTGACCAATCACACAGCGCCTGATTCTGTCGCTCAATACTAGACCCCGCCTCCCTGGACCTCTGCTTTGAAAATTAGGGGGGAAAAAAAAAAAAGCGATCGCCAAAACTTTCCCGGATTGGCTGGAGAGCGGACATGCGCAGTGATACCTGGTTGCCGTCTTGGACGCTTCCGCCTTCAGTTCTTACGCAAGCCCCAGGACATGGGAAATGGATGCTCTTCACTAATTAATTTTCATGTCCTGTCTCCATTGTTGGTTCGAGGACGAAACTTTTACTCTTCTGAATCATTCAAAAAATTATGGAGAAGTATATCTTAATTAAAGTTTCTCCGGTATTGTGAAAGCTACCATTTACTCTTCAGCCTTATCGAAATAAGGAAGTATCGAAAATACTTTTCACCCCACGCTAGTAGTTTCCCGGCATTAATAAAACCACAGAAATACTATTTTACTTTCTTTTGATGACTTCAACTACACTTTAGTGTGGGTAACTGTGATTCGTCACCTGCTATTCATATTCGTGACGTCCCCAGCGTCTGAGCAGTTTGCCCCAGTTGCCATTTTTGATTTGGTCTTTATTGAAAGTCATGAGCCCACGAGCGGAGGCCATTTTTCTTTTGGGCTGATTCTTGCGTTATCCCGGCCCTTTACCGTGTTTTGCCGCCATCTTAAATCCTGGCTCTGGCTTCAGGAGAACAATGAAGCTTCCTCGATCATTTTGTGTTTGGGCGGTGGCTCAGTTCCCAAACGCGCGGGGAGAGCCTGGGAAAAGGGAAGCAGGCTGAAAAATTGAATTCCCCCCCAGCTTCTGAAGTTTGGTTTGCGTAACTTGCTTCTTTTTTTGGTGTAAGTTTCCCCAACCAGGTACTACTCCGCCTGTGGCCCTGGATAGTAACAAAGCAAACAAAGCCCGAACCCAAACCCGCCACCATCATAGGTAAGAACGTGGAGCTTCTGTCACCCGAGGTGTTCCTTCATTTGAACTGAACTGTTTGCCCATCTTCTCTCCCCGTGTTTTTTTTGCTTTGAGTTTTGAGTCTTTTCCGGAGCTTTCTCCCTGAGCTCGTACTTTGTTTTTTATTGTTTTCAAAGAGCTGCTAAGTTATGAAACATCACAGTACAGAAAGCCCGAGCTTTAAAGCGAAAATGTTCAGGAAAATTCTTCTTTTAGGACAAAATGGAGCTCAGTGCACAACCTACCAGTGTGAAAGCTACCATTGGTATCAAAATATGTGGTCTGCATCATATGTACAAATAGTGCTTTTCACGGATTATTTGGGGGGTTGACTTAATGTCATTAATTCGGTGCATTCATCGAGTACTTGTTTTAAGCCATAAAGATTTGGCAGTAAATAAATAAATTTTAAAAACCCGAAAAAACAAAACCAACTATCTCATAGGCCTTAATCACCCTGACATCTACTAGGTTGGAACCAGGAACACAGTATTCAAGGAGTCTTAGCACTGCAGACTATTCAAACAATTATTTGCTTTCACATTTCTCAGCCCCCTCCCCCCCCTTTTTGGCCTGAACTTGTAATAAATCCTGTTGACACTTATTCTTGGGTCCTAGGTAGAACCATATTTGTAAGTCAATTGACTGGTGTTAAAACTAGTATTCAAGTTATTGGGCCTTATTGCTCAAAGTGTGGTCCCCCTATGGGCAGCATCAGCAGAACCTGGGTGCTTGTTAGAATGAAGCTTCAGGCCCCACCCCAGATAGTCTGAATCCGAATTTTCTAGAAGAAGTGCTCTTTAAAAGAATGCTGATTCAGGACATGGGGCTAAAGGTATAGACAGTGTATTTTCAACCTGTGTTTCTTAACCATATTAACAATGTGTTATTACTTGTTTTAAATGCAATGGATGTTAGGCATGTTTTCCTGTGATTTTAGTTAATTGACTTGATGTCATGATTCCGATTTAGCATTCCAAAAAGTTGAAAAGAGAATTTGTTAGTCTAGTATGCTTTTATGTTACCCATTTCTATCCAAAATAGAGCTTTTTCTTCAAGTTTTTTCATCCAGTTTACCACTTGTTTGCATTAATAAAAAGGTTATTACTGGGTGGGGATGTGGCTCAAGCCGTAGCGTGCTCGCCTGGCATGCGTTTGGGCCGGTTTGATCCTCAGCACCACATACAAACAAAGATGTTGTGTCCGCGGAAAACTGAAAAATAAATATTAAAAAATTCTCTCTCTCTCTTTAAAAAAAAAAGGTTATTACTATGCTTTCTGCTTTCTCATATCCTGTGTACATATTTTTACCTATTAAAAGTTGAACTCAAAAGTGTGCATGTGGACAGCAATTCATTATTGACTTGGAAAACTTTGGATCATGCTTTACCAAAGCTGTTTGTGACACCTTCCTTTTTTCTTTGTTCTCCTTTAATGAGAAATCCAAATCAGGAGTTCTCAACTTTGGCTACATGTGTCAATCACCTGGGGAGCTTTTATCAGAGGCTAAGACTCACTGAATGGAATTAAGGAGCCAGTAAGGTATTTGAGAGAATAGCAAATGACATTCACGTTTCTCCTGTTTTCTGTTAGATTTTTTTTTCTTCTCTCATGGTTTTAATAAAAATGTTTACGGTTTTGGAGGCAGTGAAGAGTATTGAATTGAGAATGTGTGAACCACCTTCCCAATAACTGATCAACCTGTCATGTATTTGTTCTGAGTTCTAAACAGGTTGTCTAGCTTTTTTTTTTCTTCCATCTATTAATTAGGACAAGAATAATGAAGGTTGTGAATAATGAAGAATAATGAAGTCTTGTGAATATTTCACATTTTAATGAATACATATATTCTTAATGTGAGAAGTATTACAGTATGATATTCAGTGCTTTCTATTTTCATTTATTTTGTATATTGTGAGTTGCAGTAGAGCAGGGTGGGCAAGGAATTGAACTCTAGATAGGCTCCCTGAGTTCAAATCTTCCTCCTCTACTTACCAGCTATGTGGCTTTATGTAGATTACCTTCAGTGCCTCAGTTCCCTTGTTAACTTAGGTTTGATGTGAGGGTTAGATTATACAAGAAAAATATTTAAAACTGTGCCTAGCACATAGCTACAATTATGTAAGTATTAACTCATTATTTTTAAATTATAATTAAATCTTTGGGGTTAAAGTTTGGATTATGTATGCAAATTTACTTTGAAAGTATTGCAGTTTTATGACTTTTCAGGATATATACCTGTTTGAAAAAGAGAGTGACCTAAACATAGCAGATAGGGAAGAAACTTTTCTTTTTTTAATTAAAGAAACTTAAAAAGTTTTATTGAGTATAATTGTGATAGTGTATATATTTAAGGTGTGCAATTTGATGTTTTTACAAGTGAACACTAAGGAAACCATCACCACAATCAAGTTAACGAATGTAACCATCACCCTGCAAAATTTCCTCTGGATCTTTTGTAACCTGTCTGGCTGCTTTCCTCTGGGCAACCTCTGATCTGTTACTGTAGATAAGTTTCCATTTTCTAGGTTTTTGTCTAAAAGGAATCCTTCAGTTTATGTTTTTTGGGAGAGAAGGTCTAGCATCCTTCACTCATAATTATTTTAAGAACCATCTTTGTTGTATCAATAGCTCATTCTTTTTTTTTTTTTGGTACTAAGACTTGAACCCAGGGCGCTTAACCACTGAACCACATCCCCAGCCCTTTAGGAGACAGGGTCTCCCTCGAGTTGCTTAGGACCTCACTAAGTTACTGAGGCTAGCTTTACTCTGGATCCTCCTGCCTCAGCTTCCTAAGCTGCAAGGATTGCATGTGTGCACCACCATGCCCGGCTCATTCCTTTTTAATCATTTAGTAATATCTCATTGTGGGATACTCAGTAATTTGTTTACTTGTTGAGATCCCTTTACATTGTTTTTTTCACTATGCCCACTTTTCACATTACTTTGTTCTTCTCTGGCTTATTTGAATTAGGAAAAAAAAAGTCTAATTATGTGGTGATCAAGCCTTTGAGATATGGTGAAACCAAAAGATGACTGGTAAAACATGTTTGTGTTTGGGACTTCACCTTTGCCATTGTGTAGTTTTTTAAATTCATCTTTTATGAATGATCCATGTTATGGCTTTTTAAAAATGCATTATGTGGTCCTGTTTTAGTTCAGGGGATGAGCACTTCCTGCCAGGTTTTATCCCCATAACTGACTGGGGGTGGGGGGATTGGAGAGGAAGCACAATCCCCGTGTATTGACTTTTAGGTAGATTGTTATCTCTTGCTGTGTACATATGTAATCATTTTAAGCTGTATTAAATCTTTGAAGTCTGCTGTTTGTTTAATACTTTTTGGAGATTGAGAATGATAATCCATGCTCATTAGAAACCTACTAATTAGGTAGCAAAGTGGAGATTTATAAAGCCATGCCGGGAATGTCAAAAACTCCTCTTTGTCTATAGATAGAGAGTACCACTTATATTTTGAGTTGATATAAGTACATTTCTAAAGTGTTTTTGCTTCTATTATAGAAAAGTAGGGATTTGTGTTTTTTTATAGTGTTGACATTTTGTGCTTGAATAAATCAGAGCCTGTTTAAAATTGGATTTGACTTATGTTAATTTTAGGGTAATATAAAATAGTTGTAATGTCACAGACATAAAAGTTCAGTTATGTCACTGTTTTGAGTTAGTCTCTAGTTAGAAAAGATTGGATATTTTTACAATTAAAAAATATTTCTGAGTTGGGTGTGGTGGCACATGCCAATAATGCTTACTACTTGGGAGGCTGAGACAGGATGCCAGCCTTGGTAATTTAGTGAAACTGTCTCAAAATACAAATAAATAAATAAAGGTTGGGGGCATAGTTCAGTGATAGAGTGCTTGCCTAGCATTCATGAGAGGTCTTAGATTCAATATCCTATACTGAGGGGAAAAAAGTTTATTGACATATAATACAATACACTCTCTTGCTGTAACAATTTTATGAATTTTGACTATTTCATTAAGTTGTTTAACCATCATTGAAATCAGATAAAAGAACAATTCTATCCCTCCCCCTACCAAATTCCCTCTTGCTACCCTTTGGAGTCATGCTCCTTCATCCTTCTACCCTTAGTACTCAGTGATCTGATTTTTAAGATGATTGCATTGATGATTACTAGAAGTTTTTTTCCTTTGATGAAGACAACTGGAAAACACTCATTGTCACAATGGGTATTGGGTTACAAAGTGGATTAATTATGCTTGTGCCCTCTGCGTTCATGATTCTGTTAGGCTGCTGAGCGCCCACTATGCATCAGGCACTGAGCCAAGTACTTACATATCTGATCTTGTATAATCCTCACAGGACCCATGAGGCAGAAATTATTATCCTATTTCATAGATAAGAAAACCAGAGACTGAGAGGAATTGAATAGAATGGGGTCACATGAAAAGGCATAACTTTAAGGGCTGTGTTTCACTAGAAACTGAGGACATGACAGCACCACACGTGAGTGCCTGTGTCTGCTTCTGATAAGATATTATCTGATAATTAGACGCTGCCTATTAGTGAACAGTCCCCTGCATGCAGGGCCTGCTGGACTGTGGCACAGCAGGAAGGGGAGGCCCAGATCATAGGTCACCTAACTGCTGTGAGGAAATAGGGAGACTCAAAGGCAGGGCTGTTCTGTGGAATTAATCTTTGTAGAGGATCTCAATATTTGACTTATATTTAATAACAAAAAAAATTCTAATTTTTCATTGCTTGCATTATCTTCTTTTGATTGTTCGGAGGTTGTTTTGGTTTGTCTTTTTTACAAGAATACTTTGGCATTCACCATTACATGAATAATAGGAAAAGGTAGTTCATTTTTACACTGAAGTTAGCTTTTCAAACTTTTAAGTGTCCAGTAAAACTTGGTCACTTGTCCTTTTTTTGTTGTTGTTTTTTTGGTCTGTTGTTAAAAAATGTGATTCCTTCCTTAATACTGGTGTATTTGTTTTTTGGTAA